GCAGTGAGGGCCTGGACTGGGCAGCCTTCTGGGTTTTCCATGGAGATCAACAGACAGCTTTGTCCACGGGGTACTGGCTTGGTCTACAGACCAGTCCTGGGCCTGTCTCCTCCTATCTCAGCACTGGGAAATGAGAAATACCCCCACCCAGGAGAAGCCAGCCACTTTCTGGAAGGCTTCTCTCCACCTCCTCCCAGCCGGACAACATAGTGAAGGAAGGGCCAGACCTGCTCACTGGAACCCCCATGGCCTTGGGCCAGTACCTACCCTTCTCTTGGGGTCTAGTTTCATCATTTGTAAAATGAGTGGGTTTGGCTGAATTAGATCAGTGGCTCTCAACCCTGGCCTCACCCTGGAATTACGTGGTTTTGGGGGGGGGAATGGGGTGTGCTTTTAAAAAGGATCCTGATGCTCACATTTCACCTCAGACCAATCAAATCAGAATTTCTCAGGCTGGGGACCAGGAGAGAAGACAGGCTGCAGGGTAGACAGTCTGGCTAAAGTAGCCCAGGGCAGAAAGTGTCCGAGAATGCCCAGAAGGCAGGTCTGGCCGGGGTAGGGCAGGGCTGCGCGCTGGGGTTGACCCCTGCCTGTCTTCTCATGAGGCCCACACTCCTTCAACTCAACCCCAGCCTAGCCCAAGCTCCCAGATGTCCCAGGAGAGGTCTGTACCTGCCTCCCTCCCTCCCACAAGACAGGGTGGGGGCTTACAGAGTGGGGAGCCAGGCTGGAATCTTCAAGAAGTGGCTGTCTCTGGCCTATGCATTGGTATGTCTGGGCTTAAAAGCCTCAGAAAGATGGGTCAGTGGTGGGGTAGGTAAGATGTGGAGGTGGAGGGATACAGGTCAAAGGAGAGAAATTGAGGAGGTGGAGAAAGGGCAAGTGATGAGCATTTATTATGCATCTCCTACGGGCCAGGCGCTCTGCTAGATGAACTGCAGAGGTCAGCACTTACAGTCCTCATAACATCCTAAGATGGATGATAAAGTTCAGAGAGGGTAGGTAACTTGCCCAAGACCACACAGCCTGATTGGAAGGCTGAGGCATGACCACCTCTTCTTAGTCCCAGCCAGCTGGCCCTGTGGGCGCTGGTGCCCACTGACTTGCTCTATCAAGTGAGCCCTTTTGCCCAGGACAGAGTTTACTTGGCATCACAGGTCACATCCGGTTTTCCTGCCTCCACACCCGGCCCTACCCCTGTGCTGAGCTAGGTTGAGCTCTGGCTGCAGGTGGCCTCCCAGAGTCTTCTCCCCCATGTTCCTTTTCTAGGCCCTACATTCTCCTCACGCCCCCTAGAGGACACCAGTGCTTCCTAACTCTGCCTGGGACCAGATCTCCACCTTCTGGTGGCACGTGCTGTCACCCCAGGGGCTGGCCCCACCTTCCTGGAGAGCCTGTCTTGTGTCTCCCGGGAGCCCTGAGGTACCTAGAACCGGGACTGGCAGGCTTTTACTGAACAGAGAGGGAATGATCTTCAGCTCTGCAGGCCATCTGGGCTCCATCAGAACTATTCAACCCTGCCGTCAGAGCTCCAAAACAGCCCTGGACAATATGTCAACAAATGGGTGAGGCCGCATTCCAATAAAAGTATGGACACTGAAACTTGAATGTCCTATCGTTTTCATGTGTCACGAAACAGTCTTCTTCTCTTTTTTTTCTAGCAGTTAAAAATCTGAAAACCATTCTTCGTTTACAAGGCTGTACAAAAAACAGTGGTGGGCTGAAGTTGGCCCATGGGGCACAGTGTGGCACCCCTGGTCCCAGGTGGTCATCCAGCCACTCAACAAACACATATCAACTCTGTTGGGCTCCATCTCCTCGTGGCCCTGCTCCTCGCTGCTCCTTCCCTCCCACCTCCCTCTGTGCTGACTGACAGGTCTTCTCCCCGTCCAGCCCCCCAGCACACAATATACAGAAGGGGACACAGAGGAGAGGCTCCCAGGGAGGCCCACACACCTGCCATCTAGGCCACCTGCATTTTGTCACCTTCCTCTGTGTCATCGACACACATTCCCAAAACTGCTCTTCCTTGGCTGTGGTTTGAAAACAGCCAGACGCATCCAGCGTTAGAAAACACACACACACACACACACACACACACAAACACACACAGAGCTTTGGGGCTGTACGCTTACCCCTCCGCACACACTACTTCCAAAATGGAGACAGGAGACACGTGGGCATCTACAGGGGCGGTCCTCTACACCCAGGATGTTTGCTGATTATGAGGGAAAAAAAGTCCTATTGTCTGCGAGACTCCAGAGTAAACCTCAAGTCAGAAATGGAATACTCTAAAACAAACAAACAAAAATGAGAACATTCAAAGATAAGATTGGAGTCCAAGTGGGACGGGGGGAGGGCTTGCCAGCAGCCAGAGGGCTACATGAACCCTTGGGTGACGCTTGACTTCTGGGGAACTGGCAAACAGGAAAGTCCCTTCCTGCACAAGTAGGGCAGGAGGGGCGGCGCACACCTTCCCCAGGGCTGCAGGCCCTCCCTGGCATCCCTGGTTGACAAAGTAGGTGAGAGCACGACAAGCAGGGTGGCAATGGGGATGCGAGCAAGGCCAGCAGCTGTGCGGCGAGAGGCTACTGAGTGACGGTGGGTGTATGAGGGACCCTCCCCACAGGGACACCTCAGAGGGGGAGGGGGGTGTTGTAACCGCCCGGGGACAACAGCCCTAAACTGGGACTGTACCTGGCAAACTGGGATGCCTGCTAATCCCACACAGAGGGTCTGGTTTGGTCTCCTGGTTGGATGCCCGTGGGGTAGCGTGCTAGGGTCTGGTTTGAAATGGATCTCCCCATGGGAAACCCCAGCTCTCCAGGGGGCAAAGGGCCGGACAGGGGCTCTTGGGCATGGCCATGCCTGCGGCCATCTTTACTGCTGGCTGGTGCCCCCTTCAGCTCTCCCCATTCAAACACACCATTAAAAAGAGGGTTCCCAGGGGCGCCTGGGTGTCTCAGTCGTTAAGCGTCTGCCTTCGGCTCAGGTCAAACTCCCAGCGTCCTGATCGAGCCCCGCATCGGGCTCCCTGCTCCGCGGGGAAGCCTGCTTCTACCTCTCTCACTCCCCCTGCTTGTGTTCCCTCTCTCACTGTGTCTCTCTGTCAAATAAATAAAATCTTAAAAAAAAAAAAAGAGGGTTCCCAGACAGGTCTACCAGTCTTCAACTTCTTCCTCCTCCAAACCTGTAGGGCGGGAGCTGAGTTCAGCCAGCGAGGCCCACCGCGCCAGAGCACGCCCAGACTGGCGGAGAGGCCTCAGGCCGTGTCAGCTCTGCTTAGGGCCCTGGCACGCGCCTGGCCCCAGCTCGAGGCCAAGAGCCAAATCACAGACCCCTCTACCAGAGGGGCACGTTCTAAAGTGCAATTATGCAGTCTGTCCTTTGGGGTTGTTTGTCTATCTGTCTGGGTGGGGGTTATATTGGGCCACAGAAAGTGTGCCCAGGCCGGAGACCTGAGAACCAGGCTGCTCCACCTGAAAACAGGGGCTGCATTGTTTCCACGCTACCCCACGGGCATCCAACCAGGAGACCAAGATCTTTCAGGAGATCTCTGTAGTTTTCCAGAAACCCTGTAAACAACTCCTGCCCCACAGCAACAGTGGGCCTCAAAGTAGGGGAACCCAGTGCAGCCCAAGTAGATGGCCAACACTCAAGCCAAGGAGGCCATTGCTGGTGCCACCAAGGAGTGAGGGCATGAAAGGGCCTAATGGATATTCATGAGGTTGAGGAGAGGGATAAATCCTTCCTCTGCCAAGGTCAAAGGGCAGGGTTTAAAAGGGACCTTAGAGACAATTTAGTCCAACACTCATTTTATGGAGGAGAAAACAGAGGACCACAGAGAAGAGGGGACCTGCCTGGGTCACCCTAAACAACAGCACCAAGACCAGGGCCCAGATTTCCTGACACCCCTGCCAGTGTCCAGCACCAGGCTATCCCGGGCCCCTGGGAGAGCTCACTGTTGTTCATTATGAGCATTCCTCACCCAGATGTAAAGGTTGCATTCCTGCCAGATTCTAAGAGATGAGCCAAGGGTAAGGACTACCCTGAGAATCACCTCCAAAGGTGCTAGCCTGAGGGATGCCAAGCCAGGTGCCTGCCTCGTGAGCCCAGAGCCCCACGGAATCCAGAAGCAACGGGCTTCTGGGCCCAGGGCCTCACCAGAGCCTTGCAAGTCCCTTATGTCTTGGTGGCTTAAGAGGTAGCAAGTGGGCAGAAATTCCCAACTCCATGTTCTTGTCCACCCCTACCCATGCCCACTGATGACAGTGCACCCCTTTCCTTCTTTTAGAAGAGCAGCAGCGAGCCCCACATCACCAGCTACACCCAAACACCCAGGTCCTACGATGCGGCCTAAGACCTGCCCCAGGCCAAGGCACACCGATTCTTACTCAGCTGCTCTGCTTCCTCTTTCCACAAACAGTCTAGTCATAAAAATAACCATTACCGGTGCTGTCACTGCTCGTGAAGTGGCCTGCGCGCAGCTGCTTGGTGGCTAAGGAAAGTGAGGCTCAGAGAGATTAAGTTACTCAAGACACAGCCAGGGAGCGCCGGAGCCCGGACTGGACCCTGGTCCGTGTAACTCCAAAGCTAGCGCTCAACACCCTCTACACCCTTCGGCCTCGCTGGCCTGGGTGACCAGAAGCATGGACAGGCAGGGCGGGGCTGCCTGCACAAGTTCAGTTCCTTAAGCTCCCTACAGAAGGAGCAGGCTCAGAACAACATGTATCCTGTTCAAACCCAAAGCACAAACAAGCCAAAAGTCATTCATTCACTAGAAGGATCAGGAAGATCTATTCCAGTAAGATCCTGATGGTTCCCCAGCCACGTACCACAAGAAAGTCAGGGAATGAAACAATGAAATGGAAATCACAATCTAGATCTCTCCAGACATATTCTATAGATAGTAAGCAACGTTAAGAACTCGGAGCCCAGCCAAATGTACCCATTCAGGGGACTTGTAGAAGGGCCACCTGATCCTGGACCCCAGCGCCTACCTTGCAACCCTCCAGCCTGGGCTGGTCCAGGCTTCCTATCTCTTGCAGGACCACAGGTGGTGGGGTCCCTGTGCCCCTTGCAGCCTTGGCCATCACCCAGCTCCACAGGCAATGCATGGTGAGGGGCCCAAGCCCTGGGTCCCCGGCAGCCGCAGCCCCGGGTGCAGTGTCTCAGAGAAGGACAAGGCAGGGAGAGGAGTTTCTGTTTTCATGACTGCAGTGAACAGTCACTGTAGCCAAAAATAGTTTGTGCCTGGGAGCTGGGGAGTCAGCACATACCTCCCGGAGCAGGTGCTGGTTGTGAGACACTCAGGCTCTGGCGGGCCTCGCAGCAGGGGTCTGGGGACCTGGGGACCCAGGCACCCAGATACCCAGGATACCAGGCCACAGACAGAGAGGTGTTCTCTGCCTTGCTGCTCACCTCCAGAAAGTCTGACCTAAGTCAACAAGGAACATGATCATTTCCCTCCTCCCAGTGAATCATCTGGGAACCCCCACCCCCACATGAACTCCAACTACCCCCAACCCTCCTGGAGCTCTCACACATTTTGGACTGGTGGTTTGGACAACCACGGAAGAGTCCTATGAACTACAGCAGATGCCCCAGATGGCACCCAAGACAACCATTAAAAATGAGGCTCAGCTGTCAAAGCTCTTGGAACGATACGCCAAGAACAGTGAACTTCACTTGATGTACACGGGAAAAAAATGTAAAAGAAGGGGCTGGCTATATCAGTGGCTAGTGGAGTTGTGGGGGGATTTTGTTTTCTTTTCTGAGCCTTTTTTTATTTTCAAATTTTCTTGCAATGGACATTTGTAATTAGATTTAGAAAATGTTGCTTCGAAATAAAATTCTGAAAAAGGAAAAATGTATGTGGTTCTATCTATGAAAATTTAAAGTGTATGTGTGTCTCTGGGTGTGTAATTTGTGACCCCTGCTTTGGAGCCAGATATCCTCGATGTGAATCCTGGTCGCACCACGTACCATCTAGGGGACCTTGGGTAAGTGACACGTCAGTTGCATATTGGGCATAAAGCACTGCCTCCTGCTACAGACTAAATATTCATGCCCCCACCTCAAAACCTAATCCCCAGGGTGATGGTATTAGGGGGTAGGGCCTTTGGGAAGTGATCAGGTTATAAGGGTGGAGCCCTCATGATGGGATTAGTGCCCTTCTATAAAAGAGACACCAGAGAGCTGCCTGGCCCCTCCCACCATGTGAAGACAAAGCAGAAAGACCACAGTCTATGAATCAGGAAGTAGGTTCTCACCAGACACTGAATCTGCCGGCACCTTGGTCTTGGACTTCCCAGCCCCCAGAACTATGAGAAATAATGCTTATAAGGCCCCAGTCTATGGTATTTTGTTATGGCAGCCCAGATGGACTAAGACATCATCTCATAAGGTTATTGGGAGGATTGAATGAGAGACACTCCACATAAAGCTCACAGCTCAGCCCCAGGCATGTTGGGAACACTCACTAAAGAATTATAGCACAGAGGCGACTGGCTGGCTCAGTCAGTGGAGCGTGCAACCCTAGGTCTCAGGGTTGTGGGTTTGAGCCCCACGCTGAGTGTAGGGATTACTTAAAAATAAAACAATCTTAAAAAAAAAAAGAATTTATAGCATAAATTCATGAATAAACTTCATTTTAAAAAAGGAAGAAAAAGAAAAGAAAAGCCAACAACGAAGGCTGACTGGAAGGAAATGCACCAAAATGTTTATAGCATTTCCTCAGAGCAGTAAGATTATGTAAACCATCAATAAATGGTAGAATTATTGTTTTAATTTATATACTTTTCACATTCTGAAAATGAACATCCAGGTAAATTACTGGATATTAAGAAAAAAAAAGTAAAAAGCCAAGAAGCAATGATTAGCTCTGTGAAGCCCCACTTAGAGCCCCTGGTGAGGGTGGCGACCACAGCAGCTGCAGTAAAACCTCTCTTGCCATCTGGGGGTGTGAGTGTTAATGCACGTCTCTTCTTCCATCAGCAGAACTGTTTTTCCTCCAGGAATGCACTTCCAGAGCGCAGGTGAAACCAACCCTTCAGCCGCACTCTCCGCCATGCTGTTCAAGGGCTGAGCCATGACCCAGTGTGGGCTAACTGGAGTTTTTCATCTTCCTAGCCCTGTGCTTGGCTCTGGTATAACACACGACCAAAGGCAGGCCATGCACAGCCTTCCGTGGGATTTTTCAGCTACTGTTCTAGGAAAGAAGCTCTCCATGGGCAAGCACCACCACGATGCAGGAAGAAAGTGAGGCTTAGCTGCTGGCATCCTTGGTGCCTGCCATGTGGGTTGGGCCTGGCTGAGAAGTAGACTCTTACAGCATCACCTGAGCCTCTGCATCCAGACCTCGCTGGACTTCTATTACTTATGCTGACAAAAGTCTTTAGTGTAAGCCAGTCGGTATTGGAACTTGCTACGCAAAGTTCTAACCAGTAGGAGAATGTAACAGCTTGTACTTAGTAAGTACTTACTATGTGCCCTCGTAGCATGAATTCCTCCATCTATTTATCCCTCCCCTTCATTCATCTCATCAACAGACAGCTACTGAATACCAACTCCGTGCCAGGCACTTTATTCCAGGCTAGGAACACAACAGCAAACAAAATACGTAGTCCTTTTCTTTAGGGAATATTGAAATTTGTGAATAAATGCTAAAAAGGAAAGAGCATGCTGAGACATGGGGGGCATCTAATATTAGCCCGGGTGGCCTCTCTGAAGAGCTGACTTCTAAAGATCCTAGCCATGAGAGTACAGAAATTTCCAGGCAGAGGAAAACAGAACATACAAAGGCCCTGGGCTATGACAGGAAACCTGACGTGTTCTAACAAAGGCAAAGAGTAGGGGGGCAGGGAATGGTGTGGAAGAAGGAGACACATGCCAAATACTTCAGGGCCTTGCAGGTAATGGTGAAGGGGCTTGGATTTTATGCTGAGGGCAAGACACTAAATGAAGGACTGTACTCAGAAAAGTGAGATGATCGGATTTGGCTTTTAAGAAAAATCACTCTTGGCTTATGAAAAATGAAATGAAGGAGAGGGCAGGAGTAGATACAGAGAGTGATGCAGGTGCTACTGCACAAGTCCGTGCAGCAGCTAGGCCTGGGGCGGGGGAGGGGGGAACAGTAGTGAAAAAGAGATATAGGTGGGTTTGAGATATATATTTGGAAATAGAGCCAGCAGGCTTTGCTAGTTAATCAAATGTGGAGGTAAGGAAGCAGAAGGAATAAGAAGTGACTCCTCAGTTTCTAGCTAGAGAACCGACAGACGAGTAAACAGGCTGAGAGGTAAGGGACTTGTCCATGAGCTACTGGCAAAATCAAGTTTCTGTCTGCCTCCCAACACCAGGTTCTGGGCTGTCTATTTCCAATCTTGCTACCTGCCCAAAAGTGTATGGATGAGAACCGAGCCACCAAAATGCATATGTTGATTTTCTTTTAAAAGAAGGGTAATAAGAGAAGGGGCTTTTGTTTACAATAATTAAAACAGTGTGACACAAGAATTTCCCAATGATATATCTGGCTGGTTAGGTGTGTTCTAGAGCAATCTTGCCTTTGAGGCCAGTCCCAGAGGAGGGGACACCGAACAGAAACTGACAGCAGGAGCTGGGTGGCCCCGGAGGCGGCTCAGGCACACTCTAAGCAAAGTCATCCCACAGCAGGGCTTTAGGCACACAGCCATGCCAAGTCCGGCCCCTCAACAAACACAGCAGAGCCAGCTCAGAAACCCCGACCTCAGCCACCCTCGGCAGCCCCCAGACACCTCCCCTCATGGCCCCTGCAATTCAACCTTCAACGAGCCCAGATGAGAACACTCCTGAGACCCCTCAGCCCAAGGGACCAAAACTCTTTGGATGATCTGAAGTCATTCATTCAACAAGGACACAAGGCAGCAGGGACAGAGCGAACAAAACAGCCAGAGTCCTGCCTGCATGGCACGGGATCCAGTCTAGTTGGTTTTTACTGAACTCGGCAGCCCAGAAATCCAGAGGATTGAGGAGATGAGCTCACCATTCATAAATGTCGACCAGTACAGGGCTAACCAGAACAGTCACGCTCTGGTTTTTTTCAGGTTTCTAGAAACCAGGGGCAACTTCACACTCAAAGCTTAAAAGAGGGCACTCTGGCTCAGAATCAGAAAAGAAATCACTTCATCTATTGGAGAGAGGGATGTATGCAAGTTCAGTAAGGATAGGAACTCACACGCAGCACCTAGAACAGGGCCTGGCACATAATATAAGCTAAGTATACACCGAACGAGTGCATGGCTGGGTGGACAGGAGACGACACAGGAAGGCCCTCAGCTCTGTATGGGGCCCCATCTCAGCCCTTCCCCCCTTGGGGCCCGTCAACCTGTTTCCATGGTGGTTATTTGTAGATGTGTACATCCCACCACCCGATAAGCCCCCAAGGAAGACTGTATTTTGTTCATCAGTTAATCCCCTGCAGTAATTAATCCGAGTAAGTGATCAATGGATGTCGAATGAATGGATATTAAGAAAAGAGGGGGAGGAGGAGAGAAAGAAAAGGTCAGAGGGAGGTAGGAAGAAAGGGGGAGAGAGAGAAAGAGACAGAGATCGATTCATTTTCTTTTTAAAGATTTTATTTATTTGTCAGAGAGAAAGCACAAACAGAGGGAGTGGCAGACAGAGGGAGAAGCAGGCTCCCCACCGATACGGGGTTGGATCCCAGGACCCCGGGATCATGACCTGAGCCGAAGGCAGATGCTTAACCGACTGAGCCACCTGGGTGCCCTGAAAGAGTTCAATTCAATCATACAATTGCATACAGTAACCCCTGGCTGGGCTAATCTAAGTAAGCAGCTTAGTCAAGGAAGGGAGACTGGCTTTGGAATCACAGGGACCTGAGTTTGAATCCTGACCCAGCTATCATGTCACTGTATGGCACTGACAGGTCACTCAACTTCTCTGACCCTTGGTTGGCTCAGCTACAGAATGGGGACCAAACTGTCTCCCCCTGCTCCCCTGGGTGTAAGGATTAAACAGGATGATATATACACAAAATGCCTCCTTCCTTCCATATCCCATCTCCAGCTCTTCTTCTGACTGGTTGGGTGATGGGGCACACCAGCCCACCCCCCAGGCCGGGACTGACACCTCAAATCCTCAGCTGCAAGGCAGTCAGAGTCGGTGCAGATCCAGTGAGAGTGTGGGCTGTGTTCAGAGGCCA